TCATTTGCCCCTTGGTTTTGAAATGCCAAAATTCGAGAAATACGATGTGCATGGACACCCAATCGCTCATTTGAAAAGATATTGCAATCAGTTGAGAGGGGCAGAGGGAAAAGAAGAACTTTTGATGGCCTATTTCGAGGAGAGCCTGGCGGGAATCGCTTCTGAATGGTACATGTACAAGGAAATTATCCATTATCATGTGTGGGATGATTTGGCTTGAGATTTTGTTCGCCAATTTCAATATAATGTGGACATCCGCCCGATAGAAACTTTTTGTCCAATTTAAAAAGAAAACCACAGAAAGTTTCCGTGAATACGCTATCAAGTGGTATGAGAAAGCAGCCAGAGTGAAACCGCCAATGGATGAGGCAGAAATGGTAAATGTTTTCTTGCAGGCCCAAGAGGCCGATTACTTTCAGAACATGATGTCTGCCATGGGCAAGCCTTTTGCAGAAGCCATAAAGATTGGGGAGATGGTAGAAAATGGCCTATAAACTGGCCGAATCATAACTCAATATGCTTTAAGAGCCACTTCCCATGCTATCAAGAACAACTCGGGAGGTTCAGCAAATCGCAAGAAGAGGGAAGAAGGAGCCATGATGGCTTCAAGTTCGAGAAACTCTCGTCGATCCCGTGATTATTCTTGTTTGCCTTCCAGAACCCGCAACACTACTACCCTCATCAAGATGCAGCAACACCGTGGCACTGCCTCCCTATGCGGTGATGAATGCCCAACCCTACACACGACCATAGCAACATTACAACCAAAACTGAGCTCCACCTCCTAGAAATAACCATCCTTACCAAGCTCCATATAACCCCCGTCCACCACAGAACAACTACCAACATAATACACGCCCCCGTGAGCCTCCCAGGAAAAGCGATTTCACCCCTATTGGTGAGTCTTACTCTCGCCTATTTCTGAAGTTAGTCCAGATGGGTCTATTGCAACCTGTGTCTCCAAACAGGCAAAATCCGAAATCTCTGTCATATCGGCCCGACACCAAGTGTTCCTATCATTCAGGGGCAAAGGGACATGATGCGGAGAATTGTTGGACACTCAAGAGGGCCGTTGAGAATTTGATAGAACAAAAGCGAGTGGTGCTGAGTGACGAGGAAGTACCTAATGTGACTAACAACCTATTACTGGCTCACAACAACGGGCCGGTCATTGGGATGATCTCTGAGGACAAGGAATTCAATCCGTCTTTAAAATCTATCATTGCCATCGCCGATTCGGAAAATAGACCCAAAGCGGTGGCAAAACAAGCTAGAAATGAGAAGAATATCAATTCAATTCCTCAAGTTGTAGAAAATGCTGTGGAAACAAAGACAGGGGCAACACATGCTAAGGACGCCATTCTCTACATTCCTAGGGCCCCGAGGAAGGAACAACTCATGTTGAATGATCCCAAAAGATTTGAGCAAAAGAAAGTCACGCTGCATGTGCCAAAGATATATGTGCAAAAGGGGACTTATGTGGCATAGGGGCCGATATTTCACCAAGGCTGACTGAGTCCGTGGTTATCAGTCGTGCACCACGGAGCCCCATGAGAGACCTCACCGCAGTCCCCTGGAATTACAACAGAGCAGTGGTTACTTACAAAGGGAAAAAGGTTATGGGAGAGGTGAATGAAATGAACCAATCTGGGAGGTACCACAACCCGGAAGAGTTGAAGAAATCAAAACTAAACAAGGAGAAACGGCTTCCACCCAAGAAGCCTGTGAGCGCTGAAGAAGCAGAAGAGTTTTTCCAAAAAATGAAAACTTCGGAATATGCCATAATTGATCAACTCTGGAAGGCTCATTCCCAGGTGTTGCTTTTATCCCTATTGTTGAGCTCAAATGAACATCAGAAAGTACTCTTGAAAACATTGAACGAGGCATATGTCCCGATTGAAAGTTCAGTCAAAAAATTGGAAAGAATGGCTGAACAATTCTTCAAAGTCAACATGATTTCTTTTAGCCGTGATGACTTGCCCCCAGAGGGAGCCGCCCACAACAAAGCCCTTCACTGACTGTCAAATGCGAAGGTTATTATATGAAGAGGGTCGTGCTAGATGGTGGGTCTGGGTTCGACATTTGCCCTCTCTCAACGCTTTAGAGGATGGAAATTGGAACAGAAAGAATTCGACCAAACATTGTTTGTGTGTGCGCTTTTGATGGTGTCAAGCGAGATACAATAGGGGAAATTGGCTTGATTTTGACCATTGGTCCTGTGGATTTCGAAGTGACTTTCCTGGTTCTGAATATGGATATTTCATATAATTATCTCCTCGGAAGGCCATGGATTCATGCTGCAGGAGATGTACCTTCCACTCTCCACCAAATGATCAAGTTTGCACATGAAAACCAAGAAATTGTTGTCCATGGGGAGGATGAACAGTCCATTTACAGGGATCCCTCAGTCCCATGTCTCGAAGCTAGAGAAGGAAGCGAGCACATTATTTATCAAGCCTTTGAAATTGTGGTCGCCAACCAATGCGAAGAAGGGGCCCCGTTCCCTCAATCCTGCTTATCTAATGCCTCGGTCATGGTCGCCAGTGAAATGATTAAACATGGGTACAAGCCCGGAAAGGGGTTCGGGGTATCTCTACAAGGCATCACAGAGCCCATGTTTTGACCGCCAGTAAGAAGTTCTTCGGCATAGGTTTCCAAGCTACAAATGTTGACATAATATGGGCTGATGAGCACAAGAAAAATGGTTGGGTCCTGCCTCAACTCGTTCCGCATCTCGCCAAGTCATTTGTTAAACCCAAGTATGAAGAAGAAGAGTCCTTCACGGTCGAAGAGATCGAGGATATTTGTGAAGCCATGAAACAAATGCTGTATGAATCCCACATGGTCCAGCCGGGGGAAGGCACAAGCACTGCTGAGGTGCTGTACATGGGACCAAATGCCAAGCTTCAGAATTGGAAGGCTACCCCATTCCCTGTTAGGCCGGAGTCCTGGTAGTGTAGTCTTGCCATCTTTTCTACATTACAAGTTATTTCAGGGTGTAACTCGAATGTTTTTTATTGACTTTTGATTTTGATGTAAACCCTCCTATCTTAAAATTCAATGAAATGAAATCAATATTTCATCGTCAATGGATGTCTCCTTTTTCGTTATTCTAATTTTGTTATCTTTTTCTTTTCAGTTCTAATAATGCGGACTTAAATAACATGACATGCTTGCAGAATTCATGCCCAGATCCTAAAATGCTGTATAACTATGAAATAATAAATCAAGAACCAGAAGATGATGAAGATGAGACTTTTAGGAAAATAAATCGAGAACTGGAAAAATTTGAGAATAAGCCTAAACTAAACTTAAATGAAACCGAGCTAGTTAATTTGGTTAGCCTAGAAGAGGTCCAGGAAACCATGATAAGCATTCACGCCAATGAAAGAACTAGAGATGCATTGATCCAACTTTTGTTTGAATTCAACGATGTGTTTGCATGGTCCTATAATGATATACCAGGTCTGATTGTCGATTTGGTAGTGCATAAATTGCCAACTTATCCCGGTTATCCACCTATCCAACAAAAGCAAAGAAAGTTCAAAAGAGACATCAATGATAAGATCAAAGAATAAGTCACCAAACAATTGAAAGCTGGTGTGATATGAGTGGTCCGATACACCACATGGTTGGCTAATGTGGTCCCGGTACCGAAGAAATACGGGAAAACCCGAGTGTGTGTTGATTATCGGGATTTGAACAAAGCAAGCCCCAAGGACAACTTTCCATTGCCAAACATCCACATTCTTATTAACAACTGTGCCAAACATGAGATACAGTCTTTCGTGGATTGTTATGCTAGGTACCACCAGGTTCTGATGGATGAAGAAGACGCAGAAAAGACGACTTTCACCATACCTTAGGGCACTTACTGTTACAGGGTCATGCCATTTGGTTTGAAAAACGCCGGAGCAATTTACATGAGAGCTATGACTACCATCTTCCATGACATGATGCACCGGGAAATTTAGGTGTATGTGGATGATGTGATCATTAAATCCAGAACACAGGAAGACCATGTGCGAGATTTGAGAAAGTTCTTTGAGCGTCTGTGCAGGTATGACTTGAAATTTAACCCGGCTAAATGTGCATTTGGAGTTTCGTCTGGAAAACTTCTGGGGTTTATAGTCAGCTGGAGGGGTATCGAGTTAGATCCAACAAAGATAAAGTCTATTCCGGATTTGCCACCTCCGAAAAAACAAAAAGAGGTCATGAGTGTGCTAGGAAGATTGAATTACATCAGCAGGTTCATTGCTCAGCTAAATACCACGTGTGAGCCCATATTTAAGCTGTTGAAGAAAGATGCGCAATCAGATGGACGGATGAGTGTCAAGAAGCTTTCGACAAAATCAAAGAATATCTGTCGAATCCGCTAGTGTTGGTTCCACCCGAGCCTAGGAGACCTTTGTTTTTGTACCTGACAGTCTTGGAAAATTCTTTCGGCTGTGTCCTAGGGCAACAAGATATGACCGGGAAGATAGAGCAAGCCATATACTATCTGAGCAAAAAGTTCACTAGTTACGAAGCCAAGTATACTTTGTTGGAAAGAACTTCATGCGCCCTAACTTGGGTCGCCTAGAAGCTTAGACATTATCTGTTGGCCTACACTACATATCTCATAACCAGAATGGATCCTTTGAAGTACATATTCCAAAAACCAATGCCCACGGGAAGGTTATCAAAATGGCAAATCGTGCTCACTGAGTTTGACATTGTCTATGTCACCTGCACGGCAATAAAAGCTCAAGCTTGACAGATCATCTAGCTGAGAACCCAATTGATGATGAATACCAACCCCTGAGTACTTACTTTCCGGACGAGGAAGTAAATTCAGTTGAAGTAATTCCAGAAGACACCAATGCTTGGAAAATGTTCTTTGATGGAGCTGTAAATGCAAAAAGGTGTCGGGATTGGGGCAATTTTGATTTCGCCCACCGGTCAGGATTACCCCGCCACAGCCCGACTTCGGTTCTTCTGTACAAACAACACCGCTGAATATGAAGCCTGTATTATGGGTATGGCAGTTGACATCTGACTTGATTATGCGGCAAGCTTCAGGTGAATGGGAAACTCGAGACAACAAGCTTATCCCATACAGAAAACATGTGAAAGATCTTAGAAAACGGTTCAAGTCCGTCGAGTTCAGTTATATTCCTCAATTCCACAATGAGTTAGCTGATGCACTAGCTACTTTGGCCTCAATGCTGCCGTATCCGGGCAATGTCCATATTGACCCGCTGGAAATCCAAATTCGAGAAAGACATGGTTATTGCAATGCAGTTGTAATAGAACTAGATATTCAACCATGGTATCATGATATCAAAAGGTTTTTGAAAACAAAGGAATATCCCGAGCAAGCCAGTGGAGACCAAAAGAGAACCATTAGAAGGCTCGCCAGCAGTTTCTTCTTGAGCGGAGAAGTCTTGTACAAATGAACTCCAGATTTGAATCTTTTGAGGTGCGTAGATTCTCAGGAGACTGGAAAGATCATGAATGAAGTGCATTCAGGAGTATATGGGCCCCGCATGAACCGATATGTCCTTGCAAAGAAAATCCTTCGGGCAGTTATTACTGGAAGACCATGGAAAAGGATTGCTTCAGTTTTGTCCGGAAGTGCCAATATTGTCACATACATGGTGACCTGATTCATGCACCGCCTTTAGAGTTGCATCATGTGTCAGCACCTTGGCCATTCGTTTCCTGGGGTATGGATGTCATTGGGCGAATCGAGCCGAAAGCTTCAAATGGGACAAATTCATCTTGGTTGCCATTGATTGTTTCACAAAGTGGGTTGAAGCAGTCACTTTCAAAGCCGTCACCAAGAAAGCAGTGGTGGACTTCGTGCATTCCAACATTATTTGTCGCTTTGGTATTCCTAAAACTATCATTACAGACAATGCTACAAATCTGAATAGCCACTTGATGAAGGAGGTATGCGAACAATTTAAGATTGCGCATCGTAACTCTACTCCTTATCGACCCAAATCTAATGGCATTGTTGAAGCTGCAAACAAGAATATCAAGAAGATCCTCAAGAAAATGCTTCAAAGTTCTAGATAGTGGCATAAAAAGTTGCCGTTTGCATTATTGGGATATCGCACAACCGTGCGCACATCAGCTGGGGCCATACCCTATTTATTATTTTACGACACTAAAGACGTAATACCTGCAGAAGTTGAAATTCCCTCTCTTCGAATCATTGTTGAAGCTGAGATCGAGGATGATGAATGGGTCAAGACCCAGTTGGAATAATTAACTATGATTGATGAAAAGAGGATGATCGCAGTTTGTCACAGGCTGCTGTATCAACAAAGAATGGCCCGTGCCTACAACAAGAAAGTGCGGCCTAGAAATTCTAAAGAGGGGCAACTCGTTCTGAGATGTATTTTCCCGCATCACGAGGAAGCAAAGGAAAATTTGCTCCAAATTGGAAAGGTCCGTACATTGGATGAAAACTATTGCCGAACGGAGTGCTGTATTTGGGAGACATCGAAGGAAATGATCCCGAAACAGCTGTCAATGCAGATGCGGTCAAAAGGTACTATGTTTGACCCTTTTACGCGATTTTAATGCTCTTTGATTGGGATGACGAAGGCTTTTATTCCCGCTACCTAAACACTACCAACCTTGCAAACCCTTTGAGTCGGTTCCCTTGTCCTCTTATTACCCTCTTTGGAAGCAGGAAATTGTTATGAAAAGTACAAAAAAGAAGAAGAAAGAAGTAAAAAAACAGAAAACAAAACAAAACAAAATAAAAGAGAAAAAACAAAAATCAAAAAACAAAATTCTTTGAACTACGTTCGACTTGATTCCGAAAGAATACATAGGCAACCTCTCTCTGGGGTTCAGTCACACTAAAATAAAAATCCAAATTTCCCCAATAGTGAAACTGGGGCAAATGTTATAATGGTTTGGCGATGATTTCACCGAAAGGTTCCAAAGTTGTAACTCAATCCAAATTCGTTTTACCCAAATCCTTTTCAAGTCCTTCTGATCGATGGGAAAAGAGATTCAAATGGGAGGATACAGTTACTTGGATCCTTTGCCACCAAATGAGAGAAATAAAATGAGAGAGTCTTATCGGTGAAAACCCTCACGGACACCGTAAAGCGATGGTAAGTAGAGAAATTGAAAATGAAAGAGTCTTGTTAGTGAAAACTCATAAAGAGAAATATAAGGCGACGGAGAGAGGAGAAATAAGAGAGGCCATCTGGTGAAAACTCACAAAAAGCACCACTGATCGAAAAGAGGATCCCCACGACCATCGGTATCAACAGAATGTTGGCAAGGTTTCTCAATTTTGAGGTATAAGTTATGATGAATTTTTGAGAGTTGGACGGTTTACACAGATTAGGCATCCAGTCCAAGAGGCATGTCATGTTCATTGGAGTCCGCACGCACTCCAGATAAGTCCTTATTTCCTTTCCTCGAAAGGCATACCTCTCGTCTAAGTTCATTTGTCCATTTCATTGTCTGTTTTTCTTTGAATCCCTTTTGATCTAATTCTGTATTGAAGCTAAGACAAAGAAAGGATGGCAAGAATAATTTACAGGGCTTTTGTTTGACATTAGCCAATATTCAAGAAGGCACCCAGCCTCAGCAAGTGCATCGAGTCGACTTCGACTGGCCATGATGGACGATGCTTTGAAATCAAAAACTCCTGAAAAAAAAGGAAATCAAAGTCAAATGCCCACAAAGACAAAATAATGTTGAAAAAGGTTAAGTACCATGTGATTAACCATCATGGTAAGGTTCTGGAAAAGCCAAGTTCTCCAGGGCCAGAAATGAAATAGGTCCTCAAGGAACAAGCAAGCAGTTGAGATCTTCATCAAAGAAGTCGGGCCGAGATCAAGCGAATGAAATGCCCAAGGCCACAAAACCAACCACTGTTTCAAACTGACAAATTGTTCTTTGTTTGAAAAACAGAAAACATGTGTAATTAAGAGTAACCTTGTAAGAAGAAGGTGCAACCAAAAAGAAACTACGCAAGGGCTAGAAATAGCTTCACAGCAACAACTTCAAAAAGGGAAGTCTTCTCCAAAATTCTTTTCCGCATTTACTCATCTCTGAAATATAAAAAAAAGAAAGAAGAAATGATGATGAAAATGATAAAAAAACAAAAAAAAAGACGAGAGAAAGAAAACAAAGAAAATTCAAAATCATGGTAGTATGGGATCTCCAATCCCTAGCTGCGGTTTTTCCAACATAGGGTCTCCATTCCCTAGTTGATGCCAGCATAGGGTTCCCACTCCATAGTTGATGCCAACATAGGGTCACCACTCCCTAGTTGATGCCAACATAGGGTCTCCACTCTCTAGTTGATGCCAATATAACTTGATGCCAACATAGGGTGACCACTCCCTAGTTGATGCCAGCATAGGGTCTCCACTCCCTAGTTGATGATTTTCCAACATATGGTCTCCAATCCCGAGTTGATTTTATTTTAGACATAGGGTCTCCATTCCCTAGTTGATGCCAACATAGGGCCTCCACTCCCTAGTTGATGCCAACATAACTTGATGCCTATATAGGGTCACCACTCCCTAGTTGATGCCAACATAGGGTCTCCACTCCCTAGTTGATTCCAATATAACTTGATGCCAACACAGGGTCACCACTCCTTAGTTGATGCCAGCATAGGGTCTCCACTACCTAGTTGATGATTTTCCAACATAGGGTCTCCAATCTCTAGTTGATTTTATTTTAGACATAGGGTCTCAACTCCCTAGTTGATGCCAACATAACTTGATGCCAACATAGGGTCACCACTCCCTAGTTGATGCCAACATACGTTCACCACTCCCTAGTTGATGCAAACATAACTTGATGCCAACATAGGGTCACCGCTCCCTAGTTGATGCCAACATAGGGTCTCCACTCCCTAGTTGATGATTTTCCAACATAGGGTCTCCAATACCTAGTTGATTTTATTTTAGACATATGGTCTCCACTCCATAGTCGCTTTTTCCAACATAGGGTCTCCATTCCCTAGTTGATGCCAACATAGGGTCTCCACTCCCTAGTTGATGCCAACATATCTTGATGCCAACATAAGTTGATGCCAATATAGGGTCACCACTCCCTAGTTGATGATTCCAACATATGGTCTCCAATCCCTTAGGGTATCCACTCCCTGGTCGCTTTTACAACATAGGGTCTCCACTCCCTAGTTTATTTAATTTTTTTAGATATAGGGTGTTTACCGTGAAAATGGTAATAACAATTAAATTTGATTTTGGGACTCTAAAAACACGTGATCTATTGTTATGCTGGTTGTTAAGCAGTTGATGCTATGTGTATGAGACTTAGAAATGAAATAATAGTTAAGGATAGAGTGATAATCAAGCCGATAGGCTGAGAATTGGGGCCTCGAGCTTGTCGATTCGGGGGCCTCGAGGTCGATTACAGAGCTCGGCTGCGAGCTATCGAGGGTGATCGGAGTATGACTAACAGTTATAATAAAATCAACGAAGGCTCTTTATAGCCAATGATTAGCAATAAACGATGAACAATGATGAAGATGATAAATGAAAGCAATAATATCAAGAGAAAGTGTTAGAGAGTAGAGAGAATATTCTTGTATATTTCGTATGGAGCAACTGAAGCAACAGGGGTTTACAAAGTGACAAGGATCCCCTTTATATAGGAGGGGAATCCCATTATAGTACAACATGCATTAATTATAAAGATATGGAGATGGGACAATTAGATGACACAAGGCTCTGTCCGTACTAGCTGCGTGCCTTGGGAACTCCCCATTTCTACCATTACCGCGATCATTACTACTCTGAGGTCAGGTTTCGACGATCCTCGAGGGAGGATACTCGGCCGCTACCTCGAGCCTTCGAGGTGATCTCCTGAGGCGCCTCGATGATGAGAAATTGGACCCTCCGATTTCACCGTATACAGATTGTCCCCGCATTTCTTAGAGAGGAGTGATAAGAAACGATTTTGACACCCAATTCTTCGGACTTTCTGTGATGATGTCACGTTAATGATATCACGCTTATGACATAAGCCTTCACGATAACAGGGGCATCCCATGGACTTGTCTTTTCAGCGTCATTCAATGCGCTTCCAATTCCCATTCTTCAAAGTGACAATATCGCCGTCGGTTTAGTTTCGATAACGCATTTATTGCACCTGTCGATCCGTCTTTCAAAGGCATTGATGGCATTGTTGGCCATACTATATCCCCCTATAAATGGGGGCCTTCCGGTACTATCTTTTTATCTAAGTGCCTTTCAACATCTATCCTTTCTTCTCTTCTCACTATCCTCCTCCATTACTATCCACCATATGTGGGGTCGACGACCTTAAGGTTGCATGACCGCGTTCTCATCAGCCGCGCTATGGCCTTCTGCCTGGGCTTTCCCTCGCCAATCAAGACTATACTGTCTTGTTGATGTTGTTGTTGTTGTTATTATGGTTATTACTGCTGTCATCGTTGGTTCGAGGTGAAGAAAGGGGGGTCGACTTCTTCCGACTTAGAAGGACGTTTGGACTCTACACCGCTGCTCGGGAGAGTGTTCGGACTATACACCGCTGCTCACTCTCCTACCCTGTCCTGGTGTGGCACTTCATCCCTTGGTTTTTTCCCAAGGGATAAAATGGAATAACTGGCAGTTAAACTTGCACGGCACGA